CACCCGTACAACGCCGTGCTCCAAACATACACCTTTAACAACCTTTTTCGAATTTCTAAATTAACCGTTCGCGAGCATAGAAGTGACTTCTTTTTATTAAAGGCGACACGGCCCTGCGCTATCCTCTGCTTTATATCCCTACTACTCCTTCCATCCTCACTTATCTGACTTGCTAGGTATCTAAAATCAGCCACTAAAAATTACTAAATTACTATATTTATTTTAAATTCATTATTTTTTATTAGGTGTTCTCCTTGAGAAGCCATCAAATTCGATTATGTACAGTGGCATAGAACAACCGTATCGATCAGTGATCACTTTGGCTTACTTCCCAGTTAACCATATTGCAGAACGTATCTGGTATCCCTCGAGTGAGAAATGAAGCAATTAAAAATTAGCGAACTCGATACTATAATGAGCTCGGATTACAGCAACATAATATACCATAATAATATTGCCTTGTGTGTGTGCGTGTGTTTCTAAACGTAATCGATTTACCTATCAAATGAACAAAGGAAGTTATTAACAGTCTACCTGCTGAATGTTTAGTTGAGGAAGAATTTTAAAAAGAAATGCGACCGGCATTCTTTCACGAACCAACCATAAAACAGTTGTCAATAGAACTCGCTGATGGCGAGTGAAATAGCACCTATTGTGTTCCTACATATTCCATTTCTAAAGTGTATATACGTATGTCCAGCACACAAATATTTATTAGAATTTAAAAATGATGGACATGTATTAGAAAAAAGGGTTAGGTTACGGCAGAGCCGGGCAAACTTTAACTTCGCAGGATCCAAAACATGAGGTTAGTTTGAGTCACTCCATACCCTTCTATAAGTACGAGAGAGTAAGCAGTAATAAATAATTTTGTTTTGTCTTTTTCTTCTCCCTTCCACTCCCATATCAAGCCCCTTCATCCCGTAGACGAGCGAAGCCACTCACGCAACTTAAATAATACCTACGAAAATTTTCGTTACTACGTTCGCAAAACTATTGGATTTGGCTATGGAAGAGGGGACTCACCTACGAAATGGAAGGGATAAGAAAAGGAAAGAATCATCTCACTCGCACTCGTAGGATCAATGAGGAGCTACTTGGTTAACCTTGAGGAGCACTCGGGATGCAAAAGATCCGAGTTTGCCCGGCTCTGAGTTACGGCAGAAATGGACTTATCAATATAGCTACTGAGGTAAATAGCAATTTTGAAGTAGTGTTTGCCTAGATCGCAGGTATTTGCACCATTGATCAAATTAAAGGTCTCGGCCATGAACATACCCAGCTCCTTTTTCTGCGTGGGCCAAGGGTGGGCCACACCGTTGCAGACGTTAAGCTTCATATTGATATCTACAATCCCAAATGCCTTAAATTCCGTAAAAATGCCAATGCAAAATCACAATTATATATTCTGGCAAAATCAAAACGCCTTAACAATATTAGTGGTACAATATATTGCGCCTCTAAACAAGACAAGTAAAGAATGTCTCAGGCCGTATGTTTGTTTCTTTCTCTGCAGTTTTTAGTAATTATGTTCACTGAGAGAAAAAATGAAAGAGCTCGCGATATGGACAAACTACACGGTGTTATTGAATTCAATAAAAACACCTCATAATTTTGCATTACGCAAAGCATCTTAAGAATCTCATGGATGGTACACAAATAGGTTACAGAAAATGGAAAGGGATACTGGATGCAATATACATAGTAAAGATCGCCATTGAGGAAGAAATAAAGAAAGAAATCTTCCTATTCTTTGCTGGTATGAAAGAAACCTTTGGCAGGATAGACAGGAAGAAAATATAGAGTATAATGGACGAAAAAGGAATAAATATGAAATAAGGGAAAATAATAGAAGAAATGTATGAAGCAACATCATTTAAAGTGAGAATCAATGAAGAAATTTCTGAAAAAATTAGCACGATTAATGGGGTGAGACAAGAATGTCCCTCGAGTACAACTCCTTTCAATCTAGCTTTTGTGGATCTGGAAAATACAATGAGGAAAATTCAAATGGAAGGAGTGGTCATGGGAAAGAAGAGAGTACGGACAGTACCTTACGCGGATGATATAGTATTAATGGCGAGTAATAAAGAGACACACATATGAAGAAAGTAATTTGTGTTATTGAATTCAATAAAAACACCTCTTAATTTTGCATTACGCAAAGCATCTTAGGTTATGTGACGATGAATGCTTGCGATTTTAAACATTTCATCTATATTCAGGAGAGTCCAATACACGAGCCCACCTGGGTTTATCCGTACCTACCTTATTGGTCTTTGCATCATTTTACGATTATTAAAAAAAGTACCGGAGACAATCGGGTACACGTTTCACGCAAGCGTATCTAAAACGCTCGGCGTAATAACACATGTATTGCATTTCCGTGAAAGCTCATCGTGCCACATTACTCAAAGTGCAGGGTTGTTCTTGATAAAACAATCGCCGGACATTGGAAACCTCTAGTTATTGCCTTATTGTTTCGATCTTCCACCAATGTTAGACCGTGCAGTAGAGAAACCGAAACAATTGAAAAAATCAGGTTTCCAGAAGGGTTAATTAATTTTATTTTGTATTAAAAGCACATCATAATATCCACGCCTTCTTTTAATAAGAATTATTATCAAATCATTAGTTTATCTAAAAATTACAATTAGTCCACGACCTTATTTTTTAATTATCAGAAGGATATTTACTGTAGCAGAGATCACCAACACCTCATTAGCATTAATTATACAGTTTGATTAACTTTTACCTTTCACGGAAGAAGATTAAACATGTTTTCGCATAAACTACTGCAAAGGTTATTTTTAAATAGCGGAAAAGCCTTCTTGGAGATTCATACATTGATAACATTTACGCTATTTTTCTACTAATTAGTAGCATTTAGGTAAATAGACCAAGGACTTGGTCTTTGAAACGTTAGATACAAAACTAAACAGGTATTGCGTAATTTCTTTATTAAGGGGTGCATTTCAATTGGGATCCGTCAAATGGGCATACACCATCTGGTGGCAAAATTTATAACTCGAATGAGGGAAAAATTTACATAGGAACTGTGCACGCAAATTGTAAAATTGTTTATTAAAATAATAAAACACGTTAAAAAAGTAAAAATTTTTTTGATGATGGAGTCGACGAAGTTTTCTTCTAAAGTTAAATCAAATAAAAAGTTAATATGTTCAGTGAAAAGCTGCAATAGCACTTCAGACATAGATCTTCACTCTTCACCTACATTAACTACTTTCCAATAAAAACTAACCGTTTTATATATGTAAAAAATATATTCGGAAAATTAGAGAAAAAAGTAAACTAATAGAAGCTTGGATGAAAGCAGTAGGTATCAAAGAAGTGAATTCCGGAATAAAAATTTGTTCACGTCATTTTAATGCACATGATTATATTTCAGCAAGTATTTACCATCAGCCATAACCTTAATATTTAAAACTAGAATCATACTAAAATTATAAAGTGAGAAATTATTTATTCCTGTGTAATTGATTTAACACAATTCTAATGATACGATATAAGTATTTTGAGGTTAAGAACCTACCTGCTGCAATACAACAAAGTTGCAATAATGTGTTTGCAACGTTCTCTTAAATCGGCTTTGCACGTGCAAGTCATTGATATGATATTGCTTAAATCACCCAGAATCACCTCACCAATTATATAACGTGAATCACTTTTTAAATCCGAAGTTTGTAAAAAGTAGGCAGTAAACTTGACGGAATTTGAAGGCTAGCTTCCGGATTTGTTATTTCCGAATTTTATAATGTGATTGGAATTAAAAACACGCTCACCTTCAACGAAATTTCCTTTCCGAGGCTTTGTGTCAGCCCAATCACATATTGTGTCAATACTTATCATTTTATCGTAATTTAAAAACTTGGAAATTGCACGGTACACTATAGGAACTACTATAAATTTTCCCTAATCGGCGCCATGTTTTTAGGCTCCTCCCATTTGACGGATCCCAATTGGGCAATTGATAAGGATATACTTACGGTCCAAGTGGGGATATTGGCAGTGTATGTTCCTCCCAGTGTCTCCATATTTATCTAAAATATTAACACAGTCTTTATTCTGGAGCTCCACGGGATAATCTTTCCGTTTCCGTGCTTCCAACGCGGCTTGTACTACTTTCTGTCGAACTTCACCAGATCCTTTTATCTGTTCCACTGTAACAAACGACTAATTGAAAAACTTTGGAAAGTTTTTACTTACTTGCGATAAATACTATGAATAAGAAACACTTACATATAAAATCAGCAGGATTGTAATGAGGCATGATGTTCAGTCCAACACTACTGAAAAAATCCACGACTTTCGACGTGTCTCCGAAGTAGGCAGAACGCCCCCCACAGAGAAGCAAAAGTTTATCACAGAGATGAAAAATTTGAGATGAGGGTTGATGTAGCGTTACGACCACAGTTTTACCTTCTGACACCGCGTACCTCTTCAACGTTGACATAAGACTGTAAGCTGCATGAGAATCTAGACCAGACGTGGGCTCCTAATCAAGAAAAGCAAAACGTGGAAATGGAGTTGAAGGTTTGATGTATATTGCGGTGTCAAAACTTACATCCAATAGCATCAGTGATGGATTGGTGAGAAGTTCGCAGGCAATGTTTGCCCTCTTCTTTTCTCCGCCACTAAGACCCCTTTTGATATAATCTCCGATAATGGTATCTTGACAGCCGCCCAACTCGAGAACGTCAATGATATGATCCACGTATTGCATCTTTTGAGAATGGCTCATAGAATCCGGAAGACGCAGTCGCGCTTGAAACTCCAATGTTTGACGTAATGTGAGGTCTGGAAAGAAAATATCCTGCTGAAGGACATAACAGATCCTCCTCTTCCACCTGCAAAGAAACGGGAAAACTAGGATCTTTCCAAATGGTATTTTGGTAGATCAGAAAGAACTTTATTCTTGTCGTGTAGCGTCGCGTCGCATTTAGGAAGCGAGAAACAAATCGCGAATGCCTGCAAAAATACAACTCGCGTCCCAATTTCGAAACAAGAAAAAGTAGCACAATTCTTTGTAACATCGCCAAAAAGAATTATGGCACTTCACCGTCGCCTACTGCCGCGCTATTGAAGATAGCGACGGAATTATATCGCTAAATCTTCCATAAATCATGGTGAAGGAAGCGCCACAGCTGCTCGTATTTTGTGACCAGTACAATTAAGGATGTTGTCGCAATTATTTCTTTTCGCAACCACTACACGTTTACTTAACAGAACAATGACGCTGCCAACAATAACAAAAAATATAAATTATGGATTAAATATACATACAATCAAACATTTTTCTGATAAAATAATTCGAAGTGGTCTGTATTCTGTCGAAACTGCCAGACGCGGATCGCGATTTCGATCTTTTTGGATCTCATCAGCGCGTCGCAGGCAGCTCCGACAGAACACAGACCAATTTTTACCTGCTGTCTTAACAGTGCGTTTTAGAAAATACTACAAATGGCGCAGTAAACGCCATCTGTAGCACGATGCTACATTTTAGGATTACGTATGCTCCAACAAGGTCCACTTGTGTGGATATCTACTTGCTGAAAATGAATCCCGGCGTAGCTAACCTCAACGTGATAGGCACGTTACCATAATCGAATAAAATAATTCGAAGTGGTCTGTATTCTGTCGAAACTGCCAGACGCGGATCGCGATTTCGATCTTTTTGGATCTCATCAGCGCGTCGCAGACAGCCCCGACAGAACACAGACCAACTTTTACCTGCTGTCTTAACAGTGCGTTTTAGAAAATACTACAAATGGCGCAGTAAACGCCATCTGTAGCACGATGCTACATTTTAGGATTACGTATTTTTCTGATATTCTTATAAAGGCTTCATTATACATATTAAAAAGAAATTTTTAGTTTTAGAATTTACATAGGAATTGCTATAGACACGATTCGCCAGCCAACGAAATGAGATTTTTCTATGATTTGAAAGAACATTATTTGAAACATTAATAAAGATTAAAGTAAAGATTAGAATGTAGTTTGGTCGCCTAGTCAAAATTTAAGGACAATAAATAGTAAATAATAAAACGATTCTAACATGTCTAACCTTTTACATAACGGTTCTCTGTTGAGTAATATTTGTCCGGAATCGATCCGAAGCCGTCCACTGAGGCAATTGAGCAAAGTGGTTTTGCCACAACCTGAGGGTCCGAGTACGGCCAATAGTTGGCCAGGCCGGACAAGACCGTCGACATCCTTTAGGATCTGTCTGTCTCCAGCGCTGGCCGACAAACCACGAAAAGCCAGATGAACAGGCAACGGTCGGTGATCTGTTATCAGGCATGGAAAGTGTACTGTTGTCGATTCTGATCTGGAAGAGAAACCAACAAATTAATGTTTTGAGAAGATCGTGAACTGAATTATCAATTGTATAGGGTGTAACAGACACGTGCCGAACTAAAATGTCCCTGTTTTCACCGTTTTCAAAAAAAAAAGTAGTTAATTCAATTCCGGTCCTGGTTCATATATACGGCCTCCAACGCTGCTCAATCAGCTGATGATTATTAGCATCAGTCTACTATTTGTTTTATATTTTTTGCTCATGTATTGTTTATTTGTTAGATTAGATTAAATGCCATTCTGAGTGTTTATGTTACAGTCAACCTCTAGTAGCAGTTTATTATTTTAACGCTTAAACTTTGTACAGTTCAATAAACTATTTGAGCAATACAACATCAATTATTAGTGTAGGTCAGTCCCTGTAGAACAATTGTTACAATAATGTGACATGATACGTATTAATCGGTCTGAATTATACCGCTGCTGTAAGGACAAAATCCTCGATTTCAAAGAAGACAATTGCTGCATCCTTATCATTTTCAGAGAGTACAAGTTTTTCTTGGTTTCGAATGAAAAGCACATAATGGCCTAATTTTTTCCAACTGCAGTAAGAACTGATACTGTTTTGGGTTCGTCTGGCCCATTTTACAATCAGATCTTTGAAAATTAATTCGATTAACTCCCAACTGACAAACATGTATGTCATTAGGCACGAAAAGAAACGATTAGTAACATGATATGTGTTAATGGGTGTGAATTATACCGCTGCTGTAAGGACAAAATCCTCGATTTCAAAGAAGACAATTGCTGCATCCTTATCATTTTCAGAGAGTACAAGTTTTTCTTGGTTTCGAATGAAAAGCACATAATGGCCTAATTTTTTCCAACTGCAGTAAGAACTGATACTGTTTTGGGTTCGTCTGGCCCATTTTACAATCAGATCTTTGAAAATTAATTCGATTAACTCCCAACTGACAAACATGTATGTCATTAGGCACGAAAAGAAACGATTAGTAACATGATATGTGTTAATGGGTGTGAATTATACCGCTGCTGTAAGGACAAAATCCTCGATTTCAAAGAAGACAATTGCTGCATCCTTATCATTTTCAGCGAGTACAAGTTTTTCTTGGTTTCGAATGAAAAGCACATAATGGCCTAATTTTTTCCAACTGCAGTAAGAACTGATACTGTTTTGGGTTCGTCTGGCCCATTTTACAATCAGATCTTTGAAAATTAATTCGATTAACTCCCAACTGACAAACATGTATGTCATTAGGCACGAAAAAAAAACGATTAGTAACATGATATGTATTAATGGGTATGAATTATACCGCTGCTGTAAGGACAAAATCCTCGATTTCAAAGAAGACAATTGCTGCATCCTTATCATTTGCAGCGAGTACAAGTTTTTCTTGGTTTCGAATGAAAGGCACATAATGGCCTAATTTTTTCCAACTGCAGTAAGAACTGATACTGTTTTGTGTTCGTCTGGTCCATTTTACAATCAAATCCTTGAAAATTAATTCGATTAATTCCCAACTGACAAACAGGTATGTCATTAGGCAGGAAAAGAAACGATTAAAATCCAGTAAAGATGTAGTATACATAAGTTGAAAACATTAATAGCATCTTAATAAGGAAACACATTATTGGTACACCTTTTCACCAACATAGGTGTGTAGATAGGTGCATATTTGTTTACATAATTTCTTTTCAGTATTTATTTACAATGCGGCTACATCGCTGATAGCGATAGTAACGAAGACGATTTCACTTGCGCAATTTTAAATTTAAACACTATATTGTGCAAATCCAACGAAATGACTCACGAACCTTTAAAGGCAAACATTTTGCGTAAGGTCTGAACAATTTACATTGTAGCGCATCCTTCAGCACACACAGAACATCAAATATAGAGAAAAAGGACACCGAGTATGTAATGTGTATACGCTCATCCAACGGAAGTTGTTGTTATTCTACTCAAATCGAAACAGACTATATGTAAATGTTTAAATTTGCTTCGGAAAAGGTCGCATACCATTGCCAACAACAGGGTGGTACATAAACTAGGTATTTTAATTGTAGTGTGTGCCTACTGTAACAATTCTTTACATCTTACAAATTATGGATGTGGAAAAGGCAGGTGTATTATCTTCTAATCCGTTTGGTGTACCGGAAGTTATGTTTGGAGAAAATGTACAGCGCCAACTAAACAAACCAGAAAAAAATATAAAAAAAACTTGGGCTAGTCTTTCGAACACGATAAAAAATGGCAAGTAATCTATAGATATTTATTACTGTTAACTATTGGGATCCGTCAAATGGGAGGAGCCTAAAAACATGGCGCCGATTAGGGAAACTTTATCGTAGTTCCTATAGTGTACCGTGCAATTTCCAAGTTTTTAAATTACGATAAAATGATAAGTATTGACACAATATGTGATTGGGCTGACACAAAGCCTCGGAAAGGAAATTGTTGCGTGCATAGTTCCTATGTAAATTTTTCCTTCATTCGAGTTATAAATTTTGCCACCAGATGGTGTATACCCATTTGACGGATCCCAATAGTATCTTGTATGGTTTAGTAAGGCCCTGAAAGGGTATGCACCTGCCAAACTAAATTTGAGACGCACCTTATACATAGGACTGCTGTTTAGTAAACAGAGAAAGAATTTGAGTCTATTCACAACGTTCCACCTGTATTTTACAAGAGTGACATAACCTAGAGACTAAGAGTTTAGACCAATGCCTAGCGCTGTCCTCCAGTACGATTCCGAATCCGTCTGCCTGCGTCCAAGTTTTTCTATTATTTCCTTGCATCATTTAAGCAAATACTCCATAAATAATCTTTGACTCTCTTCAGTCTTCATTTCGTCCGTTTCATTCCCGCCACCATCCACCCACTCCCACCAGTTCCAAAAAAAAAAAACCGGAAGAGGACCTTCCACGCAATTCTCCGGCATAGTCCAGGGCGACTGCCCACTCACTAGTATTAACCAACAGTTTTTAAGGTTCCCGTATCTGCATGATTCGTTGTGGAGTGATTTCTGTAGCTATTAATAAACTAATTTAATTTGTATGAACACAAATGTAATGATGTAGACTCTGGTGGACATTTTCATCGAATAAAAATCTACATCCATTGTTGTAATGATCATTTTATTTTGGAAATACAATCGAGCAACTGCGACGATTATCATTAAAAACTGAAGACAGTCCCTAAATTATCTCAGCCATTTGGTTGGTTATAGTCTGACGACTTTTAGAAAATTAATTTTGATTCATACTCAAATCTATGAGATATTTTATTTTGTGTATGCAAACGTAAACAGTATTAATATTCAATGAAAAACGTAGCTATGTTTTGAAAACAAATAGAAGATATGTATCTGAAATGACTGTGGCGAATAACAAAACATGGAAGGTCCCAGAAGTTGAATGATATACAGCTAGGAAGCTCTTCGTGGATTTATGATTTTTATACTCTTTATATTAATTAATTTGGGTAAGTATTGTCTTAAAATAGAGGCGAATACGTGCCTAAAAAGTTATTGGCAACGCCTGGACGGGTCAATAAACTGCTCGTGTTTATAAACACGCACTTGTACGGCAATGCAAACTTTAGAGGAATATCCAATTTCATAACAGAATTTGCAGAGAAGTGTAATTAAGTGACTGTGAGAACGTACTATATGTGCACCACGGAGCTGTTGATCTTGTAATAGGAAAAAAAAAATGCTTGGTAATTTTTATGCAACTGACCTATGCGAAAAACTGGATCACATTAATGTATTTATTTTCGAATGTTAACATGGCGTTGGGTAAACAGAAGAAATTGAAAATGATGATTCCGAGAAAAAAATTTGAAATGATTAACATAGTCAAAGTAAATTGAAGAAATTTATATCACAGACGTGTATTTTTTCAGGTAATATCGCTGAAATGTTTTTATACACACAACTTCCTGTTTCATATATAAACTTTGATATGACAAGTCGAGTACATAAACAGGAATTACGAACACACAATATATCTGCTGAATAGCAAAGGTAAATGAACCAAACACAGAGGAAGATAAGGTAAAGTAACAATGTTATTGGCCCTTGTTCTCTTACTTTTTCATAAATTTAAAGAACCTTCACACAATAAGTATTTCTTCGTAAATAACAAAGCTATTTTCGGATATTCCCCCATCTACCGTCATTTTTATGTTACGTAATTTCAACAAGTGTCGTCCATGATTTACTCGACGAGACAAATCCAATTTAGGTTCCAGGTTCTTAACCTTTGCATTTGACAGTTAACAAGTATTAGGTAGCTTTACATCCAAATCATAAACAAACAAAAATTGTTTCGCATAGATTTTCATGCAAAAGTAAATTTTACAACATGTCTATTTGTATTAACAACAGGATTTACAGTGCGTCTAGCCTTATGACATGATAAACGTGTGAAAAAGGGCATTAAATTTAAATCCGTGTAATTATCGCCAAAAGGTACCTACAATAGGGGAACTGTTAATTATTAATAGCATCCACGAATTTGATGCAAATAAACTAAGAGAAACAGTGACTAATAAGAGCAATAAATATGAACATTGCCTGTAGAATACATATAAAAATAAAATTTCCACGTTACAAGTCTCTGGTTACAAGAAACAACAAATTTACATTTCTCTCTTTCTCTACTTGTCTCATCTATGTTTGCGAGCATTACTTTTTCCACATGTCGCTATGATAAAACATGTTATAATGTTGTGGTACATTTGAACTACTAGCTTCATGCGCAATGCAATACGGAACATGAGTAATGACATCACAACATATTGAGTTCGTTTCGCGTACTGTAATAATTTTGGAGAAAAATGTTCATTTTCATTTCCGACTGACTTATTCTATGCAGAACCATATCTCTCCTCCATTAGGTGTACTCGACCTGCTCTACTTTCCTATTACTGTTATGTACCCTATTGGAATATATATAATACCCACAAAGATTCGGAAATGATATGTAGTTGTATACTTTTTC